GGCTAAGCAACACAGGTTGCCGTTTCCTTTAAGTGAAACACATACATCAGATATTTTTGAAATAATTCATGTGGATTTATGGGGTCCTTATTCACATTTCAATCTCACTCAAACTTCCTACTTCATTACCATAGTTGATGATTACAGTAGAAGTACTTGGACCTTTCTGATTAGACATAAAACTTCTACTGTCCAAATCCTTGAATCTTTTTTTTCAATGGTTCAAAATCAGTTTCATAGACAAGTCAAGATCATAAGATCTGACAATGGAACTGAATTTGTGAATCAAGAATGTGATTCGTTGTTCTCTAAACTTGGGATCTTACACCAGAAAACATGCGCTTATACTCCACAACAGAATGGAGTTGTGGAGAGAAAGCATCAGCATTTGCTTCAAGTGGCTAGATCTTTACTTTTTCAGGGCTCTCTTCCAAAGAAATTCTGGGGAGATGCCATACTCACTGCCACATACCTTATAAACAGAATGCCTTCTTCTGTTTTAAACTGGAAATCTCCTTATGAAGTGTTAAACAACAGACCACCTGATCTTTCTCATTTAAGAGTTTTTGGTTGCCTTTGCTTCATTACAAATAACTTACCTCACAAAGACAAATTTGATCCCAGAGCCTTGAAATGTGTTTTTCTTGGTTACCCTACAGGTCAAAAGGAATATAGAGTCTATTCACTTTCAGATCATAAGGCTTATGTGTCTAGGGATGTTATTTTCCATGAACAAATTTTCCCTTATTCACAAGTCAGTTCAAACTCCAATTCTGTTGTGTCTATACCAGTGCATAATCTAGAGATAGATTATATTCCCCATACTGATATAAACACCACTCATCATTCTGCTCCCATGAATACAGATCCTTCTACTCATGATCATGGAGAACGTAGTTCCTCTTCTCCCATTCTCAATTCATCTATTCACTCTGAATCTCATCCCATACACTCAGAACCTGTTTTACCTCTTAGAAGGTCAACTAGAGTCACAAAGCCATCAGTTTGGTTGAATGACTACTATGTTACCAACAATGTTGTTTACAACCAACATAAATTCATCCCCCCTACCACATATCCTTTTCAGATTCAACCTTCCATAAGCCCTGCTTATCTCAGCTTCCTGGCAAATGTGCCTAACTCTTATTTGCAGGCTCAACATGCACCTGAGTGGATAGAAGCAATGAACAAGGAATTAACAGCCTTGGAAGACAATGAAACTTGGGAGATTACCACTTTGCCACCAGGGAAGAAGCCCATAGGTTGCAGGTGGGTGTATAAAGTGAAATATCATCCAAATGGCACGGTTGAGAAATACAAGGCAAGGTTGGTTGCCAAAGCTACACTCAGGTAGAAGGAGAAGATTTTTTTGAGTCTTTTTCCCCTATAGCCAAGCTAGTCACTGTCAGAATTCTATTTGCCATTGCAGCAGCTAAAAATTGGTCATTGCATCAATTAGATATAAACAATGCGTTTTTACATGGCTATCTAGATGAAGAAGTTTATATGGAAGTTCCACCGGGGTATAGAGTTACTCAGCCGGGTCAAGTGTGTAAATTGAAAAGATCTTTATACGGTTTAAAGCAAGCATCCAGGCAGTGGAATCAGGAGTTTACCAAGCACCTTGAGGCGCATGGTTTTACACAATCTCCACATGATCACTATTTATTCATGCAGTTTAGGTCAGATTTCTGTTTATTTTTAGTAGTGTATGTGGATGATGTTTTGATCACAGGCACTTCAGAAGCTATGATCCTCCAAACTAAAAGGCATTTGGATCAAACTTTCAGCATCAAGGATTTAGGACCAGCCAAATATTTCCTTGGGGTAGAAGTTGCCAGGTCCTCAGAAGGCATTATGCTGAATCAAAGGAAATATGTCTTAGACATATTAGACACTGCAGGAATGCTAGGATGCAAACCTGTTTCAGCTCCACTGCCCAAAGACCTGAACTTTCAAGATGAGCATAGTCCACTCTACTCTGATCCTAGCAAGTACAGAAGACTCATTGGTAGACTTTTGTACTTAGGAGTGACCAGACCTGATTTAGCACATGCTACTCAGCAGCTCAGCCAGTTTCTGCAAACACCAAAGAAAATTCACTGGGTGGCAACTATTCATGTACTCAGATACCTGAAAGGAACACCTTCACTGGGTCTTTTTTATTCCAGCAAGAATGATCTCACCTTGTCAGCATTCTGTGATGCAGATTGGGCAAAATGCATCAACACCAGGTTCTCTCTTACTGGATTCTGTCTTTTTCTTGGAAATTCTTTAATTTCTTGGAAGACCAAGAAGCAAACTACGGTTTCAAGATCTTCTTGTGAAGCTGAGTATAGGAGTATGGCTAGCACTTCTTGTGAGTTGCAGTGGATATATTACATTTTGTCAGATCTTCGGTTTCAGGTTCCTCTTCCTATTCCTTATGCCTGTGACAACAAATCAGCACTGCATATCACACTTAATCCTCTTTTTCATGAAAGAACAAAGACCTTGACATTGATTGCCATATTGTGCGCAATTTGTATAAGTCTGGCTTCCTTGATCCTTTTTATATTCCTTCTCATCTTCAACCTGCTGACTTGTTTACCAAACCCCTTCATTCTCCACACTTTCTTTTCTTGCTATCCAAGCTCAGTCTTTGTGATTTACATCATCCAAATTCTAAGCTTGAGGGCAGAATATTACAGTTGAAGCAAGAGTTGCAGGTTCCAAGGTTGGAGGAATTAGAATCAGAAGATCCAGCGTGACGTTTTGTTCTTGATGTTTTGGTTAGGGACTAGTTTTATGTTTTCTGTAACTTTAGAGACTTATTTATAATAAGTGAGGTGGTTACTCTCTATAGGTATAAATACGGTGTTAACCGTCTGTATAATTCAATGAATGCAATACAAACATTTTTTTTTGAACACTTTTTTCTTCAGGTAGCGTTGAATACATATAATTTAGTTGACGAGCTTTTCGGTGGCTGCTTTAGCTGAAGATTTCCCATGATCACGATCATCATCAGCAGCTCCATCTTTTTTATTCTTGTCATCTTCATCATCTTTTTCACCCTTATCATCTTTCTCATCTTTCTCATCTTTCTCCGTACATTTAACCCGCTCATAATATTTTCTCTGTCTTGATCTCCACAAATGACTTTGGCTTATAAGTAGCAATGTCCCAAACTGCTCCATATGCTCTTCTCATTTCCTTAAACTCCCACTTCTTCTCCTTCTCCTTCTCCTTCCCCTTCTCCTTCTCCTTTTCCTTCTCCTTCTCATCCTGAACCACCAAAAAAGGGGCCAAAAAAATCTGGCGCCAACGTCCTTGTCGCAAAGTCCGGCGCCAACGTTCAAGAATCCCGGGAACCTTCCGGAAAGACGGTGAAGTAACTTGTGTATACTGCTTAAGGAATCTTCGGCGGTCAACTTTCACGAATTGAGTCAACCAAAATCTCAAGTCAAGGTGGGGGAGGGCAGCACCAAAAGTAGGAGTAGCAGCTTGTTGAAGAAGTTAAGGTTGGTGAGATGCGTCGCCGTCGTTGACCAGATCGGAGGTTGCAGCTACGATGAGGACCGTCAAATCAGATTCTTCGTTGAAGTCACTGGCATCATTATTATCTCTATCAACTCTGTCCGATGACGATTAAGGTTGAGAAGGAAGCACTATCACTGGCCAAAAGAGTCGCAAAAGAATCGCTCGCAACTTCACAGCTTAGGTTCCTAGAGGACTAATAGTCAACAATGACGTTCTAATTAGTGTGGTAAGTTGTTTATCCAAATTGTATGGGAGGTTTTCACTGTTGTAATAGAGATGAATATATTGGTCAAGTATAAATTTGATTCTAATGAATGTTTTGACATTAGTTTATTGGCTCCGGTTCCGGTTTAGCTACGGTTTTGACATTAATTCAGTTTTGATGAAGGTTTTATCCTATTTTAACTAATTTCAACTAATTTACGATGCCATTGTATTTTTAATTATGTTATATTATGATTAATCACAGTTTCACTTTCGATATATATATATATATATGAAATTAATAATATTTCATGACCTTAATTTGGATATAACTAATTAGTTTAAATTTTTATTTTATTTTCTAGTAATGATCGGTTTGGAACCAAACGAACCGCCAGTTCCCAATTTTGGTTCCATATTTGAATAACCATAACCAAACCATTTGTTGAAGTTTTGGCATTTACCTTTTTGAATCGTAATAGGACGGATCTAGTTCTTAAAATTAAAGTTCTCTATTCGACTTTGGTTCAGTTTCGGTTCGAACCGAACCGAAGGGCATGTCAAGTTTGTAAATGAAGAAAGAGGGACCAAAAGTTAGATTCTTTCACTAAAACTCTAACAAGGAAAGCAAGGGGGTTGCAAGAGAGTAAATAAAGAAATAATAAAATCCCCCCTCCTCTTTTAATACTTCAGTTCCAAACGGATCTACGGCCGAATCGTTTCTGAAACGGATGAATAACAAAGATTCGGTGGCCACGGAGAGGGTGCTACCATGAAAGTAAATTGTTTGTGAGTTTTATATTAAATTTAGTACATATATATAGAGTACAATATACATATACTGTAGCTTTATAAAAATAACCTTATCTGACCCTAATACTTACATAGTACGTATACACTAATAAGTTATATTAAAATGGAAAAGGGAAAATACTACTTTATCACTTTGTACACTTATTCGAAAGTTCTCTACAGGTACTGGCTAATTAGTGACGAATACCACTTCCTAATTATTAATATCAATTTGTATAAATTAGCTCTAAACATTATAACCAACTCTTGTGCTTAATTTTCAGAAAATGCATGCACAACCAAGTCACCTATCACAAATTTACACATGCATATCACGTAGTCCATTTTTGATTGTTCATTAGTTTAGGCCACCATTTATAAACTGTAAGCTAAGCATAAAAAAAAAAAACCAGATAAATACCTGAGAAATTTATTAATAAAGCATAAAATTTCGAGGCAGTACTTAAGATGTAACCCGTACAATGAGAAACCATGAGAAATCATCTCATAATGACGGTGATTTAGAAACTAGAAAACTATATCGAAAAAAGACTAACTGGTAAACTTGTCCCCGTCTGTAACCTTAGTACATCACCATTCATGGACTGCGGCATTTGGTGGACATATTTAAGAATCCCGAACAGTGAGTATCGACAGTCAACAAGTGTAAACTAACTAATCCATAATCCGATACAGTCCATTTGTAGACCAAAGTAACCGGTTTCCTGGAAATCATCAGTGCACCGGCTTTAGAAGAGTGGGCCGACGAATCGGCCTTCATATGATGGAGCGGCAGACCGGTTTAGAACAGAGCACCGGCGAACCGGTTTGAGCACAAGAATCATATCTGGTTGAAATAATAAATACATAAAACCAAAGTGAAAATATTGGGCAGCGTCAGGGAAGATCACTCGGTCAGAACTGAGCGGGGTAAATTTGGAGTCGAAGATCGGAACGGAGCTGCTGAAGGCAGCCGTTGGTGGCGGGACTGTCGGAGACGCCGGCTATGGATTTGAGTCGGCAGAGCTGTGGCAGATCTCAAGGCGGCAGCATCGATCGGGAGCATCAGTGGCAACCACATCGAACGGCAGCGGCAGAGTTCGCCGGATTTCCTCGGAGTGGGTCTTCAGATCTAGTGGTGGAACCAAAGCTTGTGTATTTGGAGAGAAAGGGAAGGATGGTTTTGGCTTCGGAACAGGATCTTCTGTGCTGGTTCTGTTTTGCACTTGTCCGGCGGAAACTCAGATCTGGTGCGGCCGATCTGCAACCATCAACATGGTTGAGATGAACAGCAAGGAGATGGGTGGTTTGGTTAAAAAATCAACTAGAAAAAGTAGCAGAGAGATCTATATATATATATATATTTTTTTTTTGTAAAGCAAAATGTGGAGATCGGATTCTCAAAATCCGATCTACTAATTAAATTAGTAGTTCGGATTTTACGAATCCGATTGAATAAAATAACAATTTTTTTTTCCGGAAAATACATGTGAAAAAAATGTATTGAAAGTCAAATAATGAATAGTAAAAGGTCGGATTTTAGAAATCTGACCTTGTTTATTTTTATTAAAAAATATAGGCAGGAGATTTGAAAATTAAGAACAGTACAAGGTCGGATAAAATCCGACCTTATTTAAGCATATAGAATCTGACCTTGTTTATTTTTATTAAAAAATATAGGCGGGAGATTTGAAAATTAGGAACAGTACAAGATCGGATTTACAAAATCCGACCTTATTTAAGCATACCTAACAGTAGATATCGGCATTGAATGGACGTTATTAGCTGGCAGAAGGTCGGATTCGTGAAATCCGGCCTTAGTGTTAAATCGGATTTTACTTATAAAATCGGATTTTAGAAATCCGACTTTTTTGTGTTATAATGGGGCGACGGAAAACATTGTTCACGTATTGGGATTTTTGGTAAAGGAGGCTATTTCTTGAAGGAGGAGGTGATTTTAGTGGCGATTTGAAGATTTTGTTCATGATTCTTCGCAACAGATGTCTTAAAACCATTTCACAAGAAGGTTAGTTAATATTTTGATGTATTTAGAATTATTGTTGATATTTTCTTTGTAAAAGTGTAGAACTGGGATGATTTATAAGGTTTTAGGGTTGATGTTGGGTGTAATTGATGATTGTTGTTGTATACGTGGTATTGAACGTTCAATTTAGTAAAATGCTTGAATTTGGCCTAAACTTTTGAATTTGTAGGGGGTTTAGGAAATTTAGTGTTGATTATGCCTTGTTTGTGGTAATTGTTATAATAAGTTGTTTGATAATGCCTTGTTTGTGTCATTTTTTTAATAATTTGTTCATGATGTGTTGTAATTTATATAATCAACAGATATAAATGGCGTTTAATGGTCCATATTTCATTAATGTCTATTGGTCGAGCAAATTTGTAGTGAAGAATGGGATTGTGAATACTTTTAAAAACATGCCGGACGATTCCTTTGTGATTGGTCATAACTTATTGTAAAATGATTTGGTTGGACTGATTTGTGAAAGAGTGGGGTGGAATAGAAAGAATGTGAATTTGAGTCTATCGATTTTGTATGATACGATGCGCAATGGTTTTAGGCGTATCGCCAAAATCAAGGACGACGCATCGTTGCAAGTGTTGTATTTCCTCCCAAGTTCGACATATATTGATTTGTATGTAGATTTGGAGGTGGCGGGTACTTCTAGGTCCCATTTGGAAGTAGGGACAAGTAGTGGTAGGCCGAATGTGGAGAATGTCGATTACATGGAAGATGATGATATGGGTGGACCGTTTATGGAGGATGGTGATCACATGGAATATAATCACGGTGAAGATGATGAGGACTACACATCGATAATTGATCAAAGCGATGAAAACCAATCAATATCCGAAGGAAGTCGGGAGAGTGATGAAGAGGTCGAAGACAAATTCGCCACAAAGGACAGGCACATATATCGTTCACAGGGTACATGGGATCATACAAAAGTGGACAAGGATGATTTTTAACTTACCATGTGGGATGGGACAACCGCAACAATTGGGATAGGAACTTGTTTCAAGAATAAGGAAGAAGCAAAAAATAGTATTGCTGCGTGGAACATAGAGCAAAAGAGAGAGTTTTATGTGAAGGAAAGTGATGGTTCAACATGGTATATTTGGTGCAAATCCCTAAAAGAGTCAGTGCAAATCCCTAAAAGAGTCAACCCCTAAGGGTTATGTTCCTTGCCGTTGGAAGGTACGTGCCTCCTTGAGAGACCACGGTTTGTGGGAGATTGTGAAATGGGTGCCCGAGCACAATTGTATGAATGTCACCGAGGAAAATAATAATCGCAATGTGAGCGCAATGCTTATTGCGCATCTCATAAAGCATAAGGTTGAGTTGGACTCAGATTATGAAGTGAAGCTCGTTCAGGAAGAAGTGAAAGACCGTATGCATGTCGATGTTCCTTACCACAGGGCATGGGAGGGAAGGAGAAAAGCTATCGATCTTGTTTACGGCGACTGGGTTTCTAATTTTGACATACTTCTAAGGTATTTACTTAAGTCCTATCTAATTTTTTTGATTTGTTTGTAATTTAGGAATAAAATAAGGATTAATTTTTTTATTTTAATTTAGGTTTTTCGCCCCCCTAGAGAAGAGCAACCCCGGCACAGTTGTAGAGTGGGAATGGCAACCGGGTTGGACCGATATAGAGAGGACGTTCAAATACATTTTTTGGGCATTCAAGCCTGCAATTGATTGTTTTGCTAAATGTCCTCCGGTGATTAGTATCGACGGAACGCACTTGCGCGGCGGATACAAAAGTAAATTACTTGCTGCAATGGTCAAAACTGTGAATAAGCGCATCCTGCCAATTGCATATGCGATCGTGGATGAAGAGAGTGAGGAAAGTTGGTCATTCTTCTTGAAGCATTTGAGGAATCAGGTTATATCCGACCGGCCTGTGTGTGTCATATCCGATCGGCACAAGGGTATCATCAGTGCAATACGCCTAATGCCCGAATGGAATGCATACCACCGGTTTTGCCTTCGTAACGTCCGTAGTAACTTGGTGGCGCAGTTTCGAAGTAAAAAGATCAAAAGGTTGTGTTGTTTAGCAATGATGCTTATTTGTATCTCGAGGAGATTGATGCTTGTCAGTGGACTCTTGCCAAAGACAAACACTATTGTTGGGGTAACCAAACAACGAACATTTCTGAGAGCTACAACAACGTCCTCAAGGGCGTTCGTTTCTTGCCGATCCGAGCTTTGGTGGAAGCCACTTTTATTAAGACTATGGATTTGTTCCAGGAAGAATACGTGAAGTCGAGGAAATGTATTACTCCGGTCCCAACTGACTTGTGGGAAGACTTCAAGAAAAAAGAAAAGAAAGCCGCGCAACACAAAGTCAACCGTTATGGTGCTATTAATGGCAAGTTCAAGTGAAAAGTAGAGCCCGACTTGGTGGTAAAGGGGACATCACGTACACTGAGAAATATGAAGAGAAGAAGTGTTCTTGCAAGAAGTGGCAAGAGTATAGGTTCCCTTGTACATATGCACTAGCTGTGTGTCGGAAGATAAAAGATCAACCAGTCAATACGGTGAATCCATATTTCAGGGTTGTTGCTTGGCAAGACCAATTCAATGGGCGCGATGACTTTTCCCCGGTCCCTGATATGAGAAGATGGCCTAAGGTTGGACGGAGACTCGTTCCTAACTACGAGCGAGTTATTATGCATGCTGGACCCGGTCGTTGGCAAAAGAAGAGATTTAAAATGCAAATGGATTATAGGGGTTGCAAAACGAAGGGTGAATGTTTGAGATGTGGCTCAAGGAATCATTTCACCAATGCGTGCCCAAAATCACAAAAGAAATCCGATAGGACAAGGCTCAAGATCAATTGGGACCCCGATGGTATTCACAACGACTAGGATTGTTTGGTTGAATTGTTGTTTATGTGGCAAAACAATGTTTCATGTCTCGAAACTTTTGTAGTTTATGCTTTAGTTTGTTCGATTTGGAGTTTATGTTTTAGTTCTTTTGAATTGTATTGTATGCTTAATGAATTAGTTTATTTAATATATTGTTATTGTGTTTGATATTAGTACTTGTAAATCCGAATTACAAAATCCGATCTAGGCATAAAGCCGGATTTTGTGAATCCGAGTTTCACGGAAACTCGGATTTGGTAAATCCGATCTAGGCATAAAGCCGGATTTCCTGAATCCGATTTTTGCACTGTTCACTCCTAGGTCGGATTTTGGTGAAAATTTGCAACCAACTTCGCAACTCTTTGTCCAAGGTCGGATTTCCTGAATCCGATTTTTGCACTGTTCACTCCTAGGTCAGATTTTGGTGAAAATTTGCAACCAACTTCGCAACTCTCTGTCCAAGGTCGGATTTCTAAAATCCGACCTGTTTACTCATTGAATAAATCGGATTTTCAGAATCCAATTTTTGACGAGTATATATTCGGTTGACCAAAATTTGGGGGAGTCAAAATCGACTCCCCCTTCTTCTCCAACCCTAATCCAATCCCCCACCAAGGTCGGATTTCACCTCCCCGGCGATTCCCCTTCCCGGCGATTCCCCCTTCCCGGCGATTTCCCCTCCCCGGCGGCCTTCAGGTAATTTGTCCCTTTTTTTCATTTGTGTGTTTCCCGATGAATGTGTGTGTGTGTGTGTGTGTGTTTCCCGGTGACTGTGTGTGTGTGTGTTGCCGATGAATGTGTGTGTGTGTGTGTTTTTCCCAGTGACTCTGTGTGTGTGTGTGTGTTGCCGGCACTGTGTGTGTGTGTGTGTGTGTGTTTGCCGGTGACTCTGTGTGTGTGTGTGTGCCGATGAATGTGACTGTGTGTGCTCCCGATGTGTGTGTGTGTGCCTGTGTGACTGTGTGACTGTGTGTTGCCGGCACTGTGTGTGTGTGTGGGTGTGTTACCTGTGACTGTGTGTGTGTGTGTATCGATGAATGTGACTGTGTGTGTTCCCGGTGTGTGTGTGTGTGTGTGACTGTGTGACTGTGTGTTGCCGGCACTGTGTGTGTGTGTGTGTTTGTGACTCAGTGTGTGTTCCCGATGTGTGTGTGTGTGTTGCCGGCACTGTGTGTGTGTGTGTGTGTGTTTGTGACTCAGTGTGTGTTCCCGGTGTGTGTGTGTGTGTGTTTGTGACTCAGTGTGTTTGTGTATTGATAGATTATGGAACATGGTATTGATAGTATTGGTATTGATAGTATTTGGTATTATAGGATTAAAAAATAGAGGGTTCGAGTTCCTCGCAACCTACACTGCAACATTTTAATCCGGCTCCAATAGATGACTCATTATTATACCTTTATGACCATCATAGGGCGAAAGCCATTTTCGAGAACCATGTGACTTTTAGTAAAGCCCTTAAAGGTAGGAGATTTGATAGTCATTTTTGGACGTGTATAGAGAAACCATCCCGGCATTGCCCTCCACAAGTTATAGATGAGATAAAGCGGGCAGGCTTTGGTGGGGTGATCCAACTAGGTTATATCCAAGGGGACAATTGTTTGATCACCGCAATGGTTGAGAGGTGGAGGCCTGAAACTCATACCTTTCATTTTCATTTTGGCGAGGCCACTATCACTCTAGAAGACGTTGAGGTGTTATTAGGTTTGAAAGTGGATGGTAAGCCTGTGGAGGGGATGACACCTGAGAATTCTATGGCACAGTGGATGGCGATGTGCTTTAGATTGTTGGGAATTACACCCGTTAGTGACATGTTTGATGGGAATAAGATTTATGCAGAGTGTTTAATTGACGAGTGTCTGTGTCCGATCCCAGAAAATGCCCCAAGAGAGGCCTATACACAGAGGGCCCGTTCATTACTTTTACTACTGATTGGAGGTTTCTTGATTCCTGACAATACGGGAAACAGAATACCACTTTGGATCCTGACAATACTCGAGGATTTGGATGTCTGTGCTACCTACAGTTGGGGGTCAGCTGTGTTAGCGAAGTTGTACTTTGCTTTGTGTCAAGCTTCCGCGCCCAGGAAAAAAGACATTACCAGATGTTATATGCTGATGCAGGTGAATTTTTTTGTTTCTTTGTTTATTTATATTTTTTTATTATATTTTTGTTTGTTTTCCTAATTTGTGCCTTTTCTGTTTGATTTAAAATTTCAGTTATGGGTTTGGGAGCGTATCCCAAGACTTCAACCAAAGAGGAAGGTTAAAGATGAGAGTTACTTGGTGCCGGACGCACCATTAGGCAATAGGTAATTATAGATTTATTTTATCAATTTTTATTTCCTATTATGTCTCAATCCAATGATTTATTTTATTATTTTTTATTTCCTATTATGTCTCAATCGTAGGTGGAAATGCCCAAAATCCAAAGCGAACATTCCGCTCATTGTGTTGCTGGCATCAGGGATTAGTTATCTAGCCTAAGGGATGGGGATGTAAGTATTGATTTAAGTCGCTTGATAAAATTCCTTTTCATATTTTTCTCTATTTTTTTTTACCAATTTTTTAATTTTGGAAATTTTCTATGGACTCCATACACTCCCTTCATCGACGATCTCCCTGATTTCTGTAAAGAGGGGGTTCATTTCTACCTTTGTAGGACGTGGATCTTTTGTTGGGCCATCAGAGAACCATACGAGCCCAATCGGGTCCTTCGTCAATTTTAATGCGTGCAAACTGTGCCAGAGTACCCGTTAATCAATGATATTGATCGCTGGAATGCGATACACCCCGGATGCCTTGGGACTGGAAAGACATATGATGATTGGGTGCAAAAACACACTGAGGTACAACCTCATTGGAATGTGAGAGATCAGCACGTGGTCCCTCATGAATTGGTTGATCCGGAACTAGGTCCTCAATGCACATCGGACTACATGCCGTGGTTTCAAAAGAAGACTATCAGATTTATGACTGATCCCACTCGATACGGCCCTCTGGCATAGGGTTATCACTCGTCTTCATCTCTGGAGAGATTTTATGTAAGATATATGTCGATATTTTATTTTAATTTTTTTTTATATTTTAATTCTTACTATATCTTATACTTTATTAACATGGTTCAATTTTCTGCAGTCTTCAAATCTCAGCGACATATATCATCTCGCTGATGCAGCCTTACGGGAAAATGCAAGCCTCGGTGGTAGTCTAGAGGATAAACTCTTCCAAATCTTCGACAAGAGTTTCAGTGCCCTGACTTTGGGCTCACGTGATATGAGCACTCAGTCCGATACTCAAGTTCTTCAGAAAAGATCCCCAGAGTCAAGTCAAAATGTGGTGCTCACGCAGAAAACAACATCGAAGTCTACTGGAGGAGGAAGGAGGAAGCGACCGAGAATTTCAGATCGAACAATCATAGTTCATCCCAATCCAACTCCGATGCAAGAAGATGATGAAAATGATGAAGGCAATGAAAGCGATGAGGATTACTACATTAGGGGCGAAGAAGAAGAAGAAGAAGAACAAGAGTCCTCTCCACCTCGTGTTTCTTCCCAAAAGAAAAAGAAAACGGTCGAGGTTCGCAAGAGTGATGGGGTTAGTAAACCGGCCAAGAAGTATACTCCCGGCGACGGGGCTATAAGGAAGAAAAGGTCGTCAAAGTAATTCAATTGTAGGACTCTTTTATTTATAACTCTTTCATGTATAAATGTTGTAATTTGGATGATTTCGGATTTGAATTTGTTAATGTTTGTTTTGATGTGTTTAGAATGTGTTTATAGGTAATTTTATGCGTGAAATTTGGTTTTGGTGCTGTTTTGATAGGTTGGGATTGGTTTAGAAACCAATTTTTTATTTTTTTCAAATTCTTTATTTTTTTCAAAGTGTCTGTCCAAGGTCGGATTTGAGAAATCCGACCTTCTACTTGTTTTACGAAGAAATCGGATTTTGAGAATCCGAACTTAACTTACATGGATTCTCAAAATCCGATTTAAACTTACTCGGATTTCTGAAACCGACCTTAGACTAAAATCGGCTTTTAAAAATCCGACTTTGGTCAAAATTTTATTTCAAAAAAAAACTAAGTGTTTTTCTGAAAATATTTTATTTTAATTTGATAGGGTCGAATTTTCAAAATCCGATCTTCTCTTAATTTTGATTAATTTCATTAATTTTTCGTATTAAGGGAAGGTCGGATTTTGAGAATCCGATTTATTTGGAAAATCGAATTTTAGGAATCCGATATCGATATTTTGCTCTTCCCCAAAATTCGACCTATATTTATCTTTACTCCTCTTTTTGAATAATTTTTTTAACTTAAAAACTCGCAAGGAGATTCCGATTCTGTCCAGCGCCTCAAATCGTCCCCCTATGTGTGTTAAAAAGCTTGTTTTCGGAAAAAGAAAAGGATTTGGCTCCCCCAACCACCGGTGGTTGGGGAGAGTTTCCGGCGAATTTTTTAGAGAGAGGTGAGAGCTAGAGTTTACTTTTTCGTATCTATAATTATCTTATTACAGCATACATGATTATTGTGTGATATTATTCATTTCTATCACGAATAAAGTTGTACCGTTTCAACAAATTTTAGTCAACAGGAAATGAATGGAAAACTCATGTTTTAGTCCCAAGATTTGAGGAAATATAATAGATTAGTTCTAAATTATGAAATTATTTTGTTTTAGTCTCAAAATTTAAAGAGTTAAGTCATAAATATTCCCTTGGGGTATGTTAAAATACTTGATAACTCTCATGTAAGGAAATATCTAATAAACCCCTTATTCTGAGATTTATAACGTGGGATTCATGTGTTTTGATAGACGACCACAAGTGAATTGGCTCAAGTATCCTTCATTGGTGCTGCTGGCGCCTAACAAGTAAAGAACTAGGGGAAACGAAATCCGGACTAGGTAATTGAGGAATCAATCGATGAAGTGCAATGAAGAAATTACCGAATGAGGCAATTTCCATCTACCATGTTGTAAAACTCGATGCCCTCAATTTTTTTTTTTTAATTTATGGTTTCGACTAAGTTTTCTCGAATAGAGTTTTACAGAAAAAAAGAAGTGATAAAACCAATAAAACTAGACAACATAATGGACTAATGATTGATGTGTTACATGTAATCATCCCATCCAAAAATAACTCTCTAACATGAATTTTTTTATTTTAATGTAAATTCTGGTAAAAATAAAATTTAAATTGAAGAATTATTGTAATATAATTTATTAAAGTTTCCAATTTAAATTTTAACTATTTAATTTCAATACTTACCTTCACCAACTCTAATCACCATTCACCACTTCGTTTACACTGTGTAATAGAGACTCTCCTTCATAGTCTTTCTAGTTGGAGCATTTATTAATTTCGTGAGAGAATTCTCAACTCTAATGTGCTGTTTGTTTTTTAAACTGTAAGTTCGCTAAATTGGATATTATTTAGTAGTAAGTTCATTGTTTCCCCAGTGCAAATTACCAAATTGTTTTCTTCAAATTATCCTTATCTTTAAAATACCCAAAATTATAGAGTTTTAATTTACCCAACCACTTGCAATAAAGTGACAACTCTAATCAATTTGGGAAAAATAGAACTTTTATGTTTATAAACGGTTGTCCCTTAATTTCTTTGCAAATCATAGTTATATCAAACATTCTAAGCTAGTTTAGTTACTTTCTCACTTTAATTAGTAGATGTGTAATATGAAATGAGACAGGAACTACTGGATCTTTTTTACGTGCACTTTGTGCTTAGAATAAAATGTCGATATTGATATAAGATTCCTAGTTTTACCAAATAAAAGAAATAGACTTTTTATTTTCGTAATTTTAACATTTTTAGATCAATCATTATATATATTAAAGGAAAGAAAGATAATCGACACATGTCGATCATTGAGACCATCAAGTCTCAATTAACACGCATCATTTGCTAATTGGTTGATCATTAATCAGTTAAAATTTTATGTAAACAGTTAATAACTATTATTTACTATATAAGATTTTTACAGATATTACAAATTCTAGATTGAGAGCTTGAAAATAAATATTTTTGAAAATTATTGAGAAACCCCGACTTAAGAATTCCTTGCATTTACGAACCTATTGTCATTTTGACCTTTAAAGTTCCATTTGTGTGCTACTTAGTATTCAAGTTTATCGATTTTATATTTTCAAGGACGATGAATTGTGTCTCATATTTTATTAGAATTACATCTAATCCCCAAAGTGCCCTTGCCTATAAATAGGTCATAGGCATCTAGACACAATTTATGCATTTTTTAAATATATATTTTTAAATCAAACGTAACACTAGTTAGTGGTGACAATTTTTATTAGACAACTTTTAAAAATCTTTGTTGTAATATTTTTGACCAGATTTTACGAATATATATATCATAAATAATATCAATGTCTTATCTTGATCTAAAATTGATTAATCAAAAAAATATTATGGTTTTAAGAAATATTAGTAATTACATTATCTAATTAATTCTTTTGAAAGATACAATTTTTAACGTTAACAAACCCGCGCAAAGCGTGGGACACATACTAGTATGGATAACAACAGACTCGCATTAATAATAATAATAAATCCAGCGAAATTTGGGACGCACGATATCTTTAAGTTCATCATACTTTCTAGTACTCGACAATTTTTATTAATGTGAAATGAGTAATAATATTCCACTTTATATTTTTAACTCTACCAACAACTCTACTTACATGTCAATCTATTTGGCTTATCCATACCACCTTAGAATTTTATGATAAGATTTAATGAAAAAAGAAAAATCAAAATACTTCGGAACTTAATGACTCTTCTCCTTTTTTTTTTCTTTTTACTTCACAAACTCAATGCAGTATCAAATCCTCTCCTTGCCTGCTCATAATTCTTCCCATCAATGGCCAGCAGCTTCATCGGATGATCGAATTAGGATGATCAACAGCCAAGACGTTTTAAAATTAGGATTGTCGAATCATGGTAACCAAATTGGATTATGTTTAGTTGCAGTGTTAATAGCATAAATTTCAATAGAACTTTCTAAGTTATCCTTCATTTCTAATCAAACAAGCTAAAATCAATTGGTGCACAAAAAAATTATTCGAATAGATTTCTTAATCGATCCAAGCATAAAAAAAGCCTCTTTTAACAACTATTAATAGTTGAAGGTTTATTACTTTTGACGGCCTAATAAATATGAAAGAAAAACAAGAAATTTTGAATGGAATAATAGTGGATCGTGAATCCTTTAAATATGAGCCCCTTCCTACATCTAAACAATACTAATTCTATAAAGAAATCAATTCTCCTCTCATCTAAACAATACTAAGTTTTCTTTGTGCCAAACAATCAGAAGTAGAGGGCACATACTCATCTTTTGGAGAAAAGAACCAAACAGAACCATAAAAACGGGAAATACTTGGTGCGATCTCTTGAGTCGTCTACAACCTCACACACAATAGGCGCGGCGGTACAGACCGATGATTTGCTGCCGGCTGTTGACGGGAAGAAGAAGCAGGCAAGGACAGGACTTGTTACGGCATTGAGTTTGTGAAGGGAAAAAAAAAGAAGGAAAAGAGTCATTAAGTTCGGATGGATTCTGGTTTAACTGAATTTTATTATAAACTTCTAAAGTGATATGGATAAGCCAACAAGATTGATATGTAAGTAAAGTTGTTAGTTAAGAGTTAAAAAAGTAGAGTGTAATATCATTACTCATGTGAAATTAAGTACACGTACATGAGAAGTACAAGCAACAGAACAATTTTATATACATGCATTTTTTGTCTTCTTAAAAAATTTAGTAGTCTTTTCCTTCTTAGTTGATTCACACACACACACAATAGCAAAGAATGTAAGAAGATGTTAAGTATTTAAATAATATATTATATATCATAATTCAAATTAAATTGTAATTAATTAATCTCAGTAAAAATTACTTGCATTGCATAAATTTCCGATATCATGTAGAAAGTACAAACACACTTAAGCATATAGTATTTCATATTTAACTATAGAATCACTTGGGATAATTAAAACCACACGATTATTACCCCCCAAATAAGTACTCCATTTTTTTCTTCAGGTAGCGTTGAATACATATAATTTAGTTGATGAGCTTTTCGGTGGCTGCTTTGGCTGAAGATTTCCCATGATCACGACCATCATCAGCTGCTCCATCTTTTTTATTCTTGTCATCTTTATCATCTTTATCATCTTCATCATCTTTTTCACACTTATCATCTTTCTCATCTTTCTCATCTTTCTCCATGCATTTAACCCACTCATAATATTTCTTTCCCTTCTCTGTCTTGATCTCCACAAATGACTTTGGCTTATAAGTAGCAATGTCCCAAACTGCTCCATATGCTCTTCTCATTTCCTTAAACTCCCACCTCTTCTCCTTCTCCTTTTCCTTCTCCTTCTCCTTCTCATCCTGAACCACCCAAAAAGGAAGCAAAAAAAAAAAGATTAATGTAACACTATAAAAATTAATTATAGATCGCCCTTTTAATGATATGGTAAAACTTTGTAGTAGGGCCGGTAAGATTAATTAACCTTGGCTATAATTTTAACTTCGTCGATGTAATCTTCGTCGTCATTGTAGAGTGCTGTGATTTTATGGTAATCCGGCCACTTGCTGTTCTTCTTGTCATATTTCACCATGAATTTGTGGCCATCCTTGAAATAATCACATTTAACCCTCTTGTATTTAACTTCAACCTCGCCCTTTTCGAACAGGCGTTTTTTGGACTCTTCATCTTTGGCCATATCTCCATAGGCTTTGTAACTCATCCTGAAATCCGTTCCTTCTTTGTCGCTTTCATCGCAATCCGTCACCACCATTTTTGTGCCTTTCTCACTACACCATTTCTTCTCTCCGCACTTCACCTGCACCCATCATTCCGATAACATTACTATTTCAGGTTTCATAATTTAAAATTTTATCGCAAAATGGGATAGATTGATCGAGAATGTCTCGTATTAAAAGAAGAAAAAAAACCAACCTCGTAGCATGTACCACAGCTTTTACCATCCTTGTACAGCCTATGGCTGACGGCGCCAACTTTACCATCGTTAATCTTTTTCTCCCATTCTTTCATTCCGCAAGCTCCTTCTGCATAATTAATTTCCGCGTTAGCTTTACAAAATAACAGTTTTTTTTTAATATATAAACATATACGTGAGCTCTTTTTATTTCACTAAGGAAATTAATGGACATACTTGATTTGCCTCCTTCAGGGTTTTTGTAGTAAGTTGCTTTAGAGCAAGAGTAAGGTTTGTCACCATCATCTTCTGCTGAGCAGAATACAGCAAGTGATAATATCATGATAAAGAGCAGAGAGTATAGGGGGCTTTTAAAAGCCATAATTTCTCAAGAAACTAATAAAATAATGTTGTTTGTGAACAACTAGGAAAATTATGTAGTTTGATGCAAAAACCCAACCCACAAAATCCTCTATTTATAGGCGCTCAAATAATGATCAGGAGATGGTTAGCTGTGTAGTAACTATTAACTTAGTGGAATCCAGGTGGGCATGCATTTTAGATTAGTTTTTGTACCACACAACACAGAATGATTTTGCGGAATTCATGTTACGTTTTCTAAAGCATTTTTCTACAAAAAGGATGGTTAATTTCGTTTCAGTTTCTCCATAGTGTGACAAAAGCCCAAGCTAGAAGGCACAAAGGGCAGTGTAAAAGAAAAAGAGTAAAAGCATAAGCTTAGATGTACATAGTCCTCTCAAATGAAATGTAGATTGATTTGCAGTTGTTATACGTGGTTTTGCAAGTTAACGTGTAAATTGATGGTTGACGGATAAAAACTAAGTGAATTAGGAAAAATTATAGTTCCAACTTGACTTAACATGAGACAAGTGGTGATTTATACGCAGTGCAGATTATCCCCAAGGTCTTTTAATGGTAAAAAAGAAACACAAATTATAGTTCCAACTTGACTTAACATGAGACAAGTGGTGATTTATACGCAGTGCAGATTATCCCCAAGGTCTTTTAATGGTAAAAAAGAAACACAAATTTTAAGTGTAATAGAAATCTGATCCTCGTTTCGTTGGTGGTATTAGCACCTTCGTACTTGGATAATTTCATGTGTCTTGGATTTGTGTCACACACTATATGAGTCTATAAGGATGAAACTAATAATGTTAAATAGACCGGGTCTGTATGGAAATCTACTTAGCAACACAAGTATTTTGGACCGGTTTAGAGAATGCCTAAAACATTGTCACTTAACCAAACCCGCTGGTCAAATATTAAATCTCCCTTCTTCTCGACCGAATAATTATGTTTGCCAAATTTATTAAAGAAATCAATGACGATTTTAAGTTTATCAACAAACTTAATTCTGCAATCCCAACCCGCCTCCATTGACATTGGTGAAGCAAAACATGCATGTGGACCACCGAGAATTTAGGGGATCTCCAACCCATTCTGCCTTTTAACTCTAAACATACTGCAGATGCAACACGGTGAAAGCGCACTAGTTTTAGAGTTTCAACAATGTCAGCAACTCCAATCTATTCCTCTATAAAATCCCTTTACAAGAAATATTCTGGATATGATTTTTCATCAATTATTTCATTGTTTAATTATTTTATAATTGTATTGTAATCTATTCTATTACTAAAAATATATATTTAGGAATATGATAATTAAATTAAATAATAATCATTAATATTAATTGTTAACATAAAATTGTGAAATTATTACTTCATCAATCAGGCCTAAACTAAATAAATTCACAACGTCTCAATTAAATAAATTATAAATAATAATTAAAATGAAAAACATTTGGACTTATAAATATATTATGATTAGTTTTTATTAGTTTTATTATTTAAAAAATTAAGTAAAAACAATATAGATTTGTCAGCTACCGACAAGGTAGTGACCGGAAATGGATGAAATCCGGCAAGCCGGAGGAAGGAAGACGACGGATTAGGGTTCGTCAAACCAGATTTGGGAGAAACTCCACAAATATTCTGAAAATACAACTTCAATTCATTATTTTCGATAGTATTTTTACAGCCCGGTTCGACTATTTATAGTCCCGGTAATTACGAAAATTCCAACCAGGTCCTATACTAAAGAACTCGGACAATTAAGTCCAGTTCGTGACAATCCCTACCCCTTATTTTCAGTCTTGACCACAAGACTGTTACAACTGAATTGTTTTCAAAAAAAAAAAAAAAAACTAGTGCTGAATTACGGAATTTATTCCACTCAACAGTACTTTTAAAGCTAGCCCCATGAATAATTAATTAAGTTATGGTGGAATTTGACAATTTATTATTACAGAAATTGTGAATAGTGGGGAAAATATAATGTTGCGAGATGAATGGAGATTTGGGTTACGTCCATTCGGGATCTTACACGTTGTTGCGAATGATTAGTGGAAGTAAAACGTATTTATAGATAATAATCGAATATAGGATTGATTCTCTTAAGATGTTACTCGTTTCTGTTTTATCTAGAACGCGATTTTTTTTATACAAAGAAGGAGGCAAAATTTGAAAACTAAGACAATACTAAACGTTAATACAAAATACCAATTATAGTGTATTAGATATTTTAGTTCATTTTTGTTTTTTTGGAAAAAAATGAAAGCAAAACACTCCACAATTACTTCACATAATATGTAATTCGCCTTCTTCAACCGCCCTGCTTCTCGAAATGGCGCAAGATGCATGCGATTAAAATCGCCACCAATCAACCAAGGCATCCGAGCTAATCAAGCCGCCAGAATCCCCAGCCCCGCGCCCACTAGAATCAGGCCTCACAAATAAAAGTAATATTCCCGAAAACATTGTGCAATTTCGATTTTTATTTTTAATAAAATTGAACTAAACGTAAAAATCCTAACTAAACAATAATCGTAAAAATTAATAAAGTTGGGTTTGCTGGGATATTAGAAACGAAATTAACAGGGAAAAAAGCTAAAGAAATAGTGATGAAGAAGTGGCATCAATATGAATACTGTAGTTATCATGAAGGGAAGAGCAAAGGAAGTATATTAGTATTATGGATGAAAGAAGAATATGAAGTCAAAATACAAACTGTTCATAAGCATTATGTTCATTGCTGGGTGAAGAATCTCAATACTAAGTGCTGGTTCTATGTGACAGTGGTATATGCAGACTATTTGGTTCATGGGAGGATTAAGCTGTGGGAGGAGTTAAAACAGATTGCAGATCATATCACTGGAGCACGGCTAATAATGGGAGATTTTAATTGTGTAATCAATCCTGAAGAGAGATTAGGAGGAAGAAATGAAGTAAGTGCTGATACAGATAAATTTAAAGCATGGATGGAAGATGGTGAAGTATGGGATATGCCAACCTATGGAGGAAAATATACATGGTGGAATAGGCAAGTTGGTGATCAAAGTATTATGGCTAAGCTGGATCGAACCTTGGGGAATGGTGATTGGTTCGACCAGTTTAATACAGCATATACCATAGTAATTGCAGCAGGAATCTCATATCATAATGGTTTGATTCTCAGATGGGGAAATGATCCAGTTGTTGACAAGAAATCGTTTAGATTCTTTAATATGTGGACTCAGAGTAATGAGTTTCAATCCATTGTTAAAGAAGTCTAGCAGAAGAAAATCACAGGTACCACACAGTTTAGTGTTATTAGTAAGCAAAAGATTCTTAAACAGCCACTCAGAGATTTAAATAGAAGGAAGTTTGAGAATGTGGAGGTCAAATATCAGGAATGTCATAGCAAGTTGATCAAGATCCAGGACCAACTTAGCCTGGATCCTGAGATTCTTTAATATGCAAAAGGAAGAGAAGAAAGCTAGAGATGAGTATGTGGAAGCAAGCAGACATGTGTTGAGTTTTTGGTCTCAGAAACTTAAAGATAAATGGATACAAGAGGGGGACATTAACAGCAAGTATTTTCACGCCAGTTTAAAGGAGAAGAGAAGCATCAATAGTCACGAAGCATGGATTTGTACGGTGCTTAGGACGGGCGGCGATGATGACCTAAGCAGCGACGGACGACCTAAAACCTGCAAGACAGAGCCTCGGGTATCTCCCGAGGGTAGACACTCCAATGCTTAAGTCAATAAGGGAATAGAGATAATAGAAAGAGTGGGATGTGTGTCGTGTGTAGTAGGCGTAGAAGATAGGTAGAAGATATAAATTATGAGAGAGGCACTACCTCTTTATATAGAGGTAGTGTTACCTGTTTTCTGAAACCCTAGCGGAATAGGTTTAGGCGGTCGCTTAATCCCCAAGTAACCTAATCCTAGGCCCAATAGGCCTAGGATTAATTTATGACTTGTCAAGTGCCCCTAGCAAGCCATATTCTCGAGACTTGATGAGAAGAATATGGGTTGCTACGAGTACGAGGCTGGAGTGTTGACGGCTTCTCGACCTCTGTAATGTTGCCCCAGTTCTCGAACATGATGTTCCTGCAAGATGAACAAAGGGTGATGGTCGACAGAAGAAGGTCCTCGAGGGGACAAGGGTCGACGATGACGGGGCCCTTGGAAAGACAAAGGTCGACAAGGGGTGGTCCTCGCAAGGACAATGGTCGACAATGGAAGGTCTTTCCAAAGGACGATCTTCAGGAGGACAAAGGTCTATGAAAGACGGTCTCGATGAGAGACAATGGTCCGTGCGAGGATGGTCCTCAAATGGATGACGATCTTCAGGAGGACAAAGGTCTATGAAAAGACGGTCTTGATAAGAGACAATGGTCCTGAGAGGATGGTCCTCGGATGGATGAGTAGACACTGGAGAAGGGTTCTCAAGAAGACAATGATCGACAGAAGAAGGTCCTCGAAAGGGTAATGGTCGATAGGTGGTGGTCTTCTCGAGGAACGTGGTGCATAAGGGCTTCTTAGGAGATTGAGCTCAAGTGGCTCGAGCTTGTGGATTCTCGATCTCGTAATAAATTAATTACTCGAGAAGGTGTTACCTCAATTCAGAGAAGATATTATGACAGTCGAGATACGTCTTTTCGAACACTTCGAATAGTAGTGTATTGCTCGATGGATGCTTGCCCCTTCGAGGAGATGTATCTCTCGAAACTTCAATCCTCGAGATTGCCCCTTGCTTCGAATGACTTGAGAGCTTGTATGGATTTGTAAAATCAAATCGACCCGATGATCATCGTAGAGTACCAATAATTTTCAGCTTCGCTTCAAGAAATTATTTGGTTCTGAAGACCAAATAAATCGGTCCCACTAGGCGTGCCATTTGACGAAGCATGGATTTGTACGGTGCTTAGGACGGGCGGCGATGATGACCTAAGCGGCGGCGGACGATCTAAAACCTGCAAGACAGCCTCGGGTGTCTCCCGAGGGTAGACGCTCCAATGCTTAAGTCAATAAGGGAATAGAGATAATAGAGAAAGAGGGATGTGTGTCGTGTGTAGAAGGCATAGAAA